CACTACTTTGTGCTTCAGAACACGTGAAGAGAAAAAGGAAAAATAATGGAATTAGGAGCTGAGCAGCACTGGTTGTGGATGGCTGGTCCCTGAGCACTCAGTGTCCCAAGCACAGCTTTTATTTTACTCCTGTGGGAACCTCAATGTCGTTAAGGACAACTATCATAGAATCATAGAATCACAGAATTTGAAAGGGGCTGCTGGAGATCATTGAGTCCAACCCCCTGCTAAAGCAAGTTCCCTACAGTAGGCTGAGCAGGAAGGCAACCAGGCAGATCTTGCATTTCTCCAGAGAAGGAGACTCATAGTAGAACCAGGAGTTGATCATCCCCTTGTACTCAATTCTGTAAGGCCATTCTTCAGTGCTGTGATCAGTTTTGAGTCCCTCACTCCAAGAAGGACATTGAGACCATAGAGTGTGTCCAGAGAAGGGCAATGGAGCTGTGAGAGGTCTGGAGAACCCATGTTACGGGGAGAGGTTGAGGGATCGGAGAGTCTCTACAACTGCCTGAAAGGAGGCTGTAGTCTCTTCTCCCAAGCAAAAGCAATAGGATGAGAGGTAATAGCCCTAACTTGTGTCATGGGTGGTTCGGTTTGGATATTAGGAAAAATTTATTCTCCAAAGAGTGGCAAAGCACTGGCATAAGCTGCCCTGGTAGAGTCACTGTCCTTGGAGATATTCAAGAACTGTAAAGATGTGACACTTGGAGATATGGTCAGTGGGCATGGTGGGGATGAGTTGGCCTTGGTCTGGGGGATCTTGAGGACCTTTTCCAACCTTCATGTTTCTATTATTACCCTTGAACAATGTTAACAACCACATCCACAAACAAAGTAAAGATGTGTTGCAAAAAAGAGAGAGGCAGAGGAGGAAATTTCACTTCCATGGGCACTGTATTCCAGGATTTACCTCCCTGGTCTGTCAGTAGGGATTTGATCCCTCCAGATCCTATTTCACAAGGAATAGCTCATTTTCACTACAGCAAGGATATGGATCAGGTTCCTGGCAAATTCACCACTACAGGGGTCATTTTCTTTCCTTTTCTCTCATCCTCAGTAAATGGTTCTGCATGTGTCAGAGTAGCTTAGGATCTTAGGGATGAATATTGGCTGGGGCAAGAGGAAGCTGTTCCCAAGAGAGGCAAAGGAGACTTCTGATGCTGCAAGTTGGAGTTCTCCTTGATTGAACAGATACCTTAATTGTTTGTATCTACTACTTCTAAAAGCAATCCCCAAAGTGGCTCATCAGTGTAGAAATGCATGACAAGGAGCTCACAGTCCAAGCTCTCTGTCTAACATCAGTAAAGTGTGAGTCTTCAGCATCACCTGGAAAAAGCAAGGTGGTCCCATGAAGACCCGTCCCATGCAGACATGCACAGAGGATCCCTGCCCATCATCACTCAGTTGTCAGGTTGGGCTCTTTACTAAAGGGAGATAAATAGGACAACTTGCTGCTTTTTTGGATAGGGACACTTGGGGAAAAGAATGCTTTTCCCTACATGACACTAAATTATACAACTGCCAGAGACAAGCAAGTAAAATGATTCTGTTTTCCCCAAAGCTCTTCTCCTCTAATTACATCTGGAATGTTTTGCATGCTATTGAAAATGTCACTTCCAACTGCAGACCATTAAGGGGCTGACGCAGCACAGCCATAGGTTTCATTAGGGCAGGACTGCTGCTGGGGATTTTTATGGCAGCAAAGCAGGCCTGGAGTGGAGCTCCTTTTGTTAACAAACATTGAGCATTTCTTATGGTAGATTGTCTGCAGTGTCACAGTGATGGCCATATTAAAGACCAAAACCTGCAGAATCAAGTGGGAGTTGCTCAGATACACGTTATTTCTTCCTCTCTTCTCAGTAATGGAGTGGCCTGGTCTGTTCTGAAGTCTCTGCAGAAAAACTCATGTTTTCTGAGGCATTTTTGCTACTGACTTGTGTCTGTGCCCTGGTAATCCTGGTACTGTTGGTCAGGGTGCCCAAAGGGATGCAAACAGATCTGTACTAGCAAGTGATGGAACTTGAGTGATGGACTGACTGTGGCCTTTTACATCAGGGCAGAATCCATCATGCAATGCTATCTTGGCACCCAGGGAAAGGACTGATAAGATCACTGTAAAGATTCTCCAAATTCTTCATGCTTCACAAACAGTGGCCAAGGATCGTCCTTGGCAATGCCTGTACTCCTTGCTGGCTTCTCGTCCCTGTTTCTTGGTTGATGCCTATCTATTAACCATCCAGCCTGAGGAACTGAAGCCTTGGGGACTACATCCACATGGGATGTATTTCCCTTTCCTGTTGCTTTTCAGGTTAGGATTAGGGTCTCTGAGCTCATTGCCCTACAGATTCTACCCAGGGACAGAAATCTTGAAGAAGGAATTTCATGATCTGAAAATGGATCCTGCAAATGCGTTCTTCTCCTTTCCACTGTTGTGCTCATTGGCACACAGAGCTAGGTCCACAAATTCTCACATTCAGACTCTGTGCGTAACTAGATTTTAATTTGCTTCTAGTTAAAAAATACATTAACTATATTTTTCCCAGTCTGAGAGAAGAAAGAAATAGAACTTTGTCTGGTAAGGGAGAATAATTTCTTCAGCTTCACATAAATCCTTTAATGTCCATATCAGGTTTTAGATAGTTTTGTGCTGTGGCACTGAAGGTCATGATGATAAAAGCTGATAAATTCCTCTTTTGCAGGGAACACCAGCTAAGCTGCACTTTATTCTTGTTTTGCCCCCAGTACATGCTGGAAAGTCAGCACTACTTCATTTCTCCGCATGATAAAAGTGCAGATTTTTGCTGTCCTGCTGAGCAGGAGTGGAGAAGCAGAAGGACAGAGTGCAGGTCTCGTTCTGCCCTTTTCTGATTCTGCTGCTTAGTGCTGATCCTGTCCCAGTCAAGTGGTTCACTAATCATCGATGCATTCCATCATAGTCCTCGACCACTGATGTCTCTCACTGGAGAATGCTGGGATGTTTTCCTTCTTTCATCCTGAACCATTTTAACGAAGATTTTGATGGAAGCAAAGCAGCTTCCCGAATGCAATGCAGAGATGTTCACTGCACTTAAATGGAAATGCCAAAAAAGAATAGGGGAAGAGAAGCCTGACAAAAAAGATTAACAGCTGACACTGCCAGTGTGCTTAGAATGAAATCCCAGACAGCCCCACAGAGTACCTTAGAGCACAGTGGGCGACTTGATAAGATCTGCCCAGCAGGCACTAAGCTGATGAGGAGCTGCAAAGGTGTCATGTATCAGCCTTCCCCCAAAACCTCCACATCTTTGCTCTTCACGAGAAGAGACTCAGAGGAATCATAGAAGCACAGATTCATTAATGTTGGAAAAGAGTTCCAAGATCCCCACATCCAACCCCAGCCCTCCCCACCATGCCCACTGACCATGTCCCCCAGTGCCACATCTTCATGGCTCTGCAACACCTCCAGAGACAGGGACTCCACCATCTCCCTGGGCAGCCCTGTCCCAGTGTCTAACCAGTCTTTGGGAGAAAAATATGTTCCTAATATCCAATCTAAAAATGTCACCACTGTATGTAAGTATCTAGGGGAATAAAGAGGATGGAGCCAGAGATAGAACAAGAGGTCATGGACACAAAATGAGGTACAGAATTTGGATTAGATGGTCTCCAACTGTGCCCTCCGACATCAATGATTCTGTCATTCTGTGCTACCTAAATTGGAGCTTAAGGGAAAATAGTGTCTTTGGTTGATATTTGTGCCTGTACATTTGGTGATTTCCTACCATGGGGAAGGCTCAGAAAGCCAGTGTACAGGACATGGATACCTTCAAGGCTGATAGGAAAAAGTCAATGGTGATGCTGTGGCATGTCACAGGGCAGAGTGATTTGTTGACGTTGCTCAGAAATGTGCCATCATTACCCTTTAGGGTTAATTAAGATTAGTATTTGAAACTAACGAGGCAGTCAAATGGTTGTGAGTGCTTGGAAGGACAAGAGCTATTTTATATTTCTGGGATGTAGCTATTAACTCAGCAGAGATGCTTCATCATGAACATAACCTTTTGTCTGAGTAATAACAGAACTTGTAAGCAGAATTGTCATAACTTTCCACGTCCCCAAAGTCAACAAAAGATTCTGCTAATTCAAGAAAGCAAATGTTCCAAAATGCCCCATTCTTGATTTCCAAGTTACTTTTCAACTGGAAAAAAATAAAGGGAGAATAGAAAACTAAGAGAGGGAGCTACAACTCATCAAAAGGCCACAAGGTGAAAAATAAATGATTGATTGTGTGTAGTTATAGCATTAGTCTATTCATAGTGTGTATGTGCTTGTTGCCTGGCAAGAACAGCATGGGTAGTTTCCTTAAACATGCTGGCTGATAGGGCCAAAAAAACAAATGATAATTTACCTCTTTCAAATCAAAATGTGAAAGGATGAGAGAGAAAGACATTACACCTTGAGCTTGTGCCCAACTAGCACTCATATTTTTCTTTTGGCTTTAATGTTCCACATTTCCCTTAGAGTGGAAGAAGAATCAGCAGCGGTTTCTGAACAGCAGCTGTTCTATATTTTGGCCCAAACCCACTGAACTGAAGGACATTTCAAGCTTCTAGCTTTGGTAAACAGTCCTTCAAGACCCCTGAAATTGCTGGGAGTTTTGTAAGGCTTTGTTGTTCCTATACTGTAGGAGTGCTTCATTTTGTGATGATTATTCCTCACCCAGAGATTAGTCTCATGCAAAATACTGGGCAAGGACAACAGATGGCCCCACGTCCAGACAGCTTGACACCTTGCTTACACAAGACCATATTCCAGTATCCTTACATCTGATCACAAGCCAGCAAGCCCCTCAAAAGCTGTGTAATGAATCAGATTATAGTCTTGAGATGGTCAGTGTTGTTTTTGGTATCAAAGCAACATCACATACGCTGAGAACATTACAGCGAGGGATTTCTCACCTCCTTACCCAAGCAATGTGAAAATATCTTATTTTTTAATTACACTGTTGTTTTATGGAAAAGGAATCGCTCCAGGTTGGCACTTGGAATATATTGATGTGATGGACTCTGCCACAGACAAGACTTTTCGCTTCCAGTGCGATCGCTGGCTGGCTAAAGGTGAAGATGATGGGCAGCTCATAAGGGAACTGGCTTGTGCCAATAATGACATCCTGGAATTGAAGGAACGAACTGGTAAGTGTAGAGTTAATTTGGGGCATTGCCAATGGTGCAAAGAGGCCATAGGGCCACAAATTTTAGAACCTGCTCCATTGAGGATTCCCATGCAATGGCAACTTGTGTTTACAGGCTCCATAGATAGAATGAGTTAAGTTACTGTTTAGTTCAAAAATGTAGTGTTATTTTAAGGGAGAAATAAATTAGGATTTATGGGGAAGAAAAGCATCTCATTCTGGGTTGAAACTGAAGAGGGTCCCATCTGCTGTGGTTCAATCCAACAATAAGCTATAAGGATACGTGGTTATGGGCTCATTAGAAATAATGGGCTTGAGACTTTGAGGTGGAAAATAAGTTCAAAGCACTGCAAGCAGCATTGCTCCAACTTGCTCCCAGACTTGTTCTGGGCTACAAGCTCACACATCTCAGCTGGTGATGATAGCTGAGCTTAACAACCCAGAAACCTGGGCAAGTGTCTCCATTGGGTAATCCTCCCAGCTCCACTTAATCACACTGGTATGTATGTTATTCAATCACACTGGTAATATGCTCTCAAAAATCTCATATAAATGTATCTCGAAAATTCCTGCAAACCAGCACTCTTCTTCAGGACAGTCCTCGGGAGTTAAGAATCACATTTTTTCAATGTGATCACACTCTGTCCCTGCAAAATTGCCACCCAATGATTGCCATCTTGGGTGCTGACATGCCACCGTAAAATCTGAGCACATCCTGATGGGTGTCTGGACACCTCCACCATCCCTGTGAGGCTGCTCCTTATTGTTAGCTATTGTGGCAAAACACTGAAGGACTTGAGCTGTCCTGCAAAACAAGCAGCTGGGCAAAGCTGGGTCAAGAGCAGCTCCATCCACTCTTACTTGCTGATACAGAAGAACACATTTTCTGTGTACTCTGTCCCTTCGTGATATCTTGGGCACAAAGATGTCAGAAGTCCCACAGATCCCAGTGTGTTTCCACCCCTGTTTTGCAAACGCTTTCTTGTGTGCTGCAGTAAATAACGGGAAGAAGGATTTTAACCAGGGTGACAGCCACATGAGGAAATTTCTTTGTCCACCTGCTCTTCCTTTGGTGCTTTAACATGTCTGTTAATTATACTCCAAAGCCTATGAAATTGTCACAGTAACAAGCGACAGAGACGATGCAGAAACAAAGGAGAACATCTGGATCATCTTGGAAGGAAAGCTGGGCCGCTCGAAAGAGTTCCTTATGGAAAACTCCTCCAAGAAAAGGAGATTTGAAAGGTAGTGGGACAGGGTGAGGGGATGGAGGAAAATCCCCACCAGCTGTGTGACTTCCACAGATACCATTTCTTCTCCAGTGTGATCTGCAGTTACACTGGTGCCATGCTCTTTCTTACCCCCATTCCAGAAACCAAAAGGAAGGTTGCAAAAGGACTTCCTGATGAGATGACAAAGAACAGGCTTAAAAATATGTGAAAAAAAAAGCATCTGGTAAAAGGAAACGTGGATGATGCCTATGTGCGTGTGTGTGTATGTGTGTCCTTTTGTACCAATACACACCAATGGGGTTCTGGTGAGCCTTGGGGAGGCCATGTATTTCTGAGCTGAAGGAAGCTGGAGCTGTTTTAGTTCTCTTTGCAGCATCTCACTGGCAGTGGAATCAGACATCTCCCATGTGGTCAAGATGCTCCAGTTGTGGGATGGGCTTTAAGGACATGATATGCTATTGGGAGATGGAAACACATTCCAAGCCACAGACTCTGATGATGCTAAGTTAATTTTCAGAAAGGAAATGTTTTGTTTTGTTTTGTTTTGTTTTCCCCATGGCTCTATAAAAGGTGAAATTGGAATTGATCTGGACTCCAGCATGAATGATTGAGGTTTTATTTGAAACATAACAGAAGCAGGGGAGTTTCCTCCTGACACTCAGCTGATGGTTACTACTGTGGATGTGAAGACTCCATCTCCTGAAACATTAGTCACAGTCCCTCCTTGGTGGCAGGTTGGGACAGGGGCCAAAGACAAGGAAGCAAATTAACAGATATGTAGGGAACATGACAGGGAGCCAGACAAGCATTTGACAGAGACCTATTGTTCCTCTGAACTATTTTCAGCTGGGTTTCTAAAGCAGGAAGGGTGGCTAAACTAGCAGATTTAAAACAGCTATGGTGGGTAGATGTGTAACAGATACCATATCTGTCAGGAATGAATGAATAAATGCTGGAGGGGAAATTAGTCATTCTTTAGCTTTATCTATAACGAGGCAAATTGATTTTGTGTGTGGAACAGCTTGAGTTTATCCTGGAAAGTCCTAGTGGCAGTAATTTAAAGTGTCACCCCTAATCAGAGAAAACGCTGAATTTAAATATGGAAATTATACTTTGTGTTGAGTGATTGTAGGGTGAATCAAATGACTTTAAATGAAGGCTTATCTTCTGCCTTCCTTAGCCATGTGCAAATTACTTAATGTCCATATGAGACAAGTCACTGCCAGCATTCGAGAGATTAACTGACTCCGCTCCCTGTTTCCTATAGAGGATCAACAGATACGTTCCAGTTTTCTTCTAAGAACCTTGGTGATATTGCAGCCATCTGTGTTGGTCACTGTCCAAAGGATGGAAAGAAGTCATCTGCAAAAGCTGATGTCTACTGGCATGTCAAGGAGATTATCATAACGGAGATGGAGCTTTGCAACAAGTGAGTGTCCTCTTGTCTGCAGGGAACCCTCCAGGGGGGAATCTGAGCAGCTCTGCATGCATCCTCCTGAAGCATTTACAACTTCAGCCATCATGGAAAGACTTGCCAGATCTTAATCCTTTACTGAATGTAAGGGAAGGCAGTTTGGTGTGTAGATTCACGCATTCCCCCCTGTCTTTATGTGCTCTTTCTGAATTCTCAGCAAGGGCATTTGCACATGCAGATGCGTTCATGAACAATTTGGCTGGAGTGTATCTTGCAGCTAGGACAAATCAACATCTCACCTTGTGGAAAGTACTGATACTGACATAAATTTAAGGGGTGTGAAGGATGCTCTGCACAGACTGCTTTTCAGGTAAGTCTTGTAAACTCCTAGGAAAAAGGATGAGAGTAAGACAAAATCTGTACCTCTGACTCAGTTTGGATGATCCTTCTAGGACTGTCTGAAAGCCCATTGGGAAGGCTGCAGCCATCTTCCAAACCACAAACACTTGGCTGCTCTGGTGTGAACAGGACTGGAATGACCCATACTGGAAGAACAAACATCTCTCAGCCCTGTGTTTGGAAGGGGTGATGTTCTTGGCTTATGGTGCTGATAGCACAGGGAATACGCAGGAACTGGAGACAACTGGCCATTTGCAAAACAAGCTCCCCTCCCACAATGCTGAAGGATTTTTCTGCTCCATGATATTTTAATTTCTGCTAAGGAATTTCATTATACGGGTTTTGTTCCCGCTGAGACAATTGAGTGTTTAAGAAGAAATCCTTGAAGTGACTTTTTGAGATGCTAAGAGTCTCTCCTAGCAAATTAATCAGGCAGCAGAAGAGCCATAATAATATCTGCTGAATGAAAACTAATTCAGCTATAACCTGAAACGTATTCTTTCTTCCTGGTGGGGAAAACACCCAGTCAAAGCAAAGACTAAATTAAGTGTTGTGGGAATGGCGTAGCATTGTTTTGAACGATTCTGTTTTTCATTTTTTGTTGTTTGTTTGTTTTCTCCCCCATTCTAAGTAGGTCTCAATATGAGAAATAGACATATTTCAAAGATTTTTCCTACAGTCTCGGGGTTAGAAAAGTCATCCTCTTTCTCCCTGCCCTTCTTGAGAACCCATATGTTCCTTCATAACTTCAGACCATGAGATATTACGCAGCCTAGGAAATAAAATTTCATCACCAGGAAGCCTCTCCATGTGCTCTCATGCAGCTTTTCTTTCCCTGAGCCTAAAATTTTGCTTCCACTGGAATTTCTCATTTACAAAACCTCTTCCCAGGGAATTGAGAGCTTTTATTTGGCTGAAGAGAACATCAGAAGTGTTAGAAGTGCTTAAAAGCACTGTACAGCAGTAACCGTCCCATTTTATGAGTGTGCATTGCAATCCAGCTATGTTCTCACCAGGAGGACCTGCTGCATTTTAGCAGAGGAGGAGGAGGGAAAATCTCATTTGGAAATGACCTGCACCATTGGAAATGAAATACATCATTAAAAGCACCTCTGGCTGGGTACCAGGTGCACAGTGATTTATAGATGCTCTCTGCACGTCACCTCCCCACCACAAGATGAAGTTTTTTGGCACCTGGGACCTGTCATTTCTGTGCTCAGTAGTCTTCTGCAGGCTCAGAATGGGCTGAGCAGTGCAGATGAGGAAAGGGGGGATATCTAAATCTCCTCCTCCCATCTTTCCCAGTGCATGTTTTCCTAATTCTTAAGGCGATCACTAGTCTGGGAGTGAGAGTGGTTGCTGAGCTCCTTCCATGTGCTTCCATGAGCTCCTTCCATGCTGCAGCGATGAAACCTGCTCTGGGACCAGAGCTGCATTAGATACCATTGCAGTAGGTGCCATTCCACAGGTAGGAAAGGTGGCAGGAGCTCCATGCCAGGCTTTGCAATGCGGGGTGTCTGTGTCTTGGGAAATATGGGATTTTCAGCAGTTGCTGTGCTAGCATATAGTGGGAAAACTGTACTGAAGCAGTGCTGATATTGAGCTGAATCACAGAATGGCCTGGTTGGAAGGGACTTCAAGGATCGTGACGCTCCAACCCCCGCCACACGCAGAGCCACCAACCTCCACATTTAATACGGACCAGGCTGCCCAGGGCCCCATCCAACCTGGCCTTGAACACCTCCAGGTTCGGGGCATCCACAGCCTCTCTTGGCAGCCTGAGTTCTTTAGTAGCATGCCCCATCCGCTGCACAAGAAGGATGTGACCCATGTCACTAACACACCATTGGCTTTCCTCTGCAGGTATTTTTTCAAGTGCAATGGGAAAATCCCTCTGCGGTACAAGCGACGGGACTACAAAGTCTTTGAGTGTGCCAAGATCATTGAGAGCTTTGCCAGCAAAGCCCGCAGCTTGGTGCCAGTCAAATACGAGACCATCGTGGTCACTGGCTTTGAAAAGGGTGCGGGGACGGATGCCAACGTGTTCATCACCATCTTTGGGTTGAATGGGGATTCAGGGAAGCGAGCCCTGAAGCAGAAATTCAGGAACCTCTTTGAACGGGGCAAAACCAACAGATTCTACCTGGAAACACTGGACATGGGGGAGCTGAAAAAGGTCCGGATTGAGCATGACAACAGTGGGCTGGCCCCCGGCTGGCTGGTGGAGAGGGTGGAGATCACCAACTCAGCCACCGGTGTGACCACCATATTTCCCTGTGGGAAGTGGCTGGATGAGAATCGGGGTGATGGGTTAATCTGGAGGGAGCTGTTTCCCAGGTATTGAGGAGAGTTTTGCTCCCTTTGGCACAAGTGTATCTTTTTTTTTTTTCTTTCTTCCTTTTTATTTTTTCTTGTTTTTTTTTCTTCTCAGTGTACGGTTTTATATTGTGTTTTCCTTTTCAAAATGCTGCCTTTTTTATTGATAAGTTTTCAGTGACAAGATGTGCTTCCTGGGTTTAATATTTTGTAAAAGTCATTCTGTTTTGTCTTTTTTTTTTTTTTTAAGTTATATATAAAATTGTGAGTGAAACAAATGCATTTCTGTTGTATTTGCTATTGGAAATCACAACCAGCTGATCCATACACTACTCCATTAGCAGCTGAGATCCCATCCTCTGCTTTTAGCATCTTGCCCTGCTGGAGCTGAAAAAGCCTGCTGACTTCTACACTATCACCTTTTGGGGTGAATATTAAGAATTATGAAATTGAGACAAAATATATAAGAAAATTCAGCTGAGACATTGAGTTTTGACCCACTTCTGGCTACCATGAACATCACTGTGGGTTGTGCTCAGATGTGAGAGCAAGTATCTGGGTCTCACATGATGGGATCTGGGGGATGTTTTCTGCCTATATAGGCTCTCCCCCTGACCAGATACAGCCTCTGGGCTGCATTCAGCAAGGTTGAAAGTCTTTGGCAGTCAGAGCACCAGGCCAGGATCCCTGGATGGGTATGTGCAACCTAAGAGCTGTGCTGAGCTCTGGGCTATGCTGCCCTAGGAAGCACCAGGGGGAATTTGCTGATGTATTATGAGCAGCCCCACTGTCTCCATGGAAAAACATGAAAAAAACTTTTCTTTTTTGTTCCAAAAGACTTTTAAAATGCCCTTTCTTTGTACAAAATGCTACTCCACCCCAGCTCTGGGGAGTCAGCCTGTTGCTACAACAATTAGCTCTACAAAAGTAATAAGCAGAGTGGAGTTGTTTTTCCAGGGGCTGGATTTACATTAAGCTGTTAAAACCAACACATTCCTGGCCAAATGGAGAATGGAGAGGAAAAAAACCAACCAAACAAACAAAATCGTCCTCATGCAGGACTCAGGGCATCTACTTGCTGAACAGGAGTCTGCTGAAGCCATGTGTTGGGAAGACTGTCCTGTACTTTCCACCTTATTTTTTGCACTTTACTTTTGCCTTCAGCCAAAAACCATAAATGTGAGTGAGCAGCAATAGCAAAGGACAAGGATGGTGGCACCCAGCAGGAACCTGCACAAGCAGGCTGTCCCACTGTCTCTGTAATCCCCATTACTGGGGGATCACAATGATGTTCCCATGACTATGAACACTTTTGTGTTTCCAGTGAGACCAAGGAGTCTTTTGCAGTGTCACATGCTGGGAGGGATGGGCTATTTCTTGCTGCAGGATGTAGACAAACCAAAAATCTCCACAAAGTTGCTGTGAAACATCTGGTGGCATTCAATTTACCCACACCAGCCCCATGTGTGCAAAGGGAGAATAATTGAAGGCTATGAAGCATCCATCCTAAAACCTCCCCTTCCTTGTTACATGCAACAAGAAGAAGGAGAAGGAGAAGGAGAAGGAGAAGGAGAAGGAGAAGGAGAAGGAGAAGGAGAAGGAGAAGGAGAAGGAGAAGGAGAAGGAGAAGGAGAAGGAGAAGGAGAAGGAGAAGGAGAAGGAGAAAGGAGAAGGAGAAAGAGAAGGAGAAGGAGAAGGAGAAGGAGAAGGAGAAGGAGAAGGAGAAGGAGAAAGGAGAAGGAGAAAGAGAAGGAGAAGGAGAAGGAGAAGGAGAAGGAGAAGGAGAAGGAGAAGGAGAAGGAGAAGGAGAAGGAGAAGGAGAAGGAGAAGGAGAAGGAGAAGGAGAAGGAGAAGGAGAAGGAGAAGGAGAAGGAGAAGGAGAAGGAGGAAGAAGAAGGAGGAAGAAGGAAGAAGGAGGAAGAAGGAGGAAGAAGGAGGAAGAAGGAAGAAGAAGGAAGAAGAAGGAGGAAGAAGGAGGAAGAAGGAGGAAGAAAGAGGAAGAAAGAGGAAGGAGAAGAGAAAGAAGTTAAATAAGGGAAAGGAGAAGAAGGAAGGAGAGAAAGAAGGAGAAAGAAGGAGAAAGAAGGAGAAAGAAGGAGAAAGGAGAAAGAAGGAGAAGAAGAAGGAAAAGCAGAAAACAGAGAAGGAGAAAGACTTACTCATAGTGTTGTACAGCTCTGGGCTGCAACCCATGGGCCAGCCAAAGACTTGTATCCCTTAAAAAAACAAAGAGGTGATACAGGGAGAGTGAATATTCACAGTGAATGGCAGTGTCACACCATGGTCGGTACTGCTGTCCCTTAAAGGGTGCCACTCCCTCCCTCCTCACTGCAGTGCCCAGTGGGGCTGTTATCACATCACAGAGGCAGACTCGTGTTCTGCTGCAGCAGCTTTGAAGCAAAACAGATTGCGATCTCAAGCAACTCTCAGAGCTGTAACCCTTTGGAAGGACATCAGCAAGATCTCAGCGAGCAAATGTGCTTCCCATGTTTTCTGATGGGATTTGTAACAGCTTCCTGTAAAGGCACTCTCATTTTGCCTGAATATGGTGTTCCCTTACACAGCCTTACAGGTTGCTGGGGGATCCAGCAGGTTCCTATTATAAGCAGTCCAATCACAAAGGGACTGCACAGGATGCAAAGTTAGGTGTTGACACACTTTGGTTCTCCAAGGGTGACAAAAGGATGGAAAATGCCTTCAGCTCTCCCTGCATTAATATAAAAGTGCTTTTTTAAATTCCATTTTCCAGTAGATTTCTCTTTTCCTACTGATTCAGGGTTGGAAGAAGCAGAAAAAATGTCTACCACCATGCACTTGCTAAAGGATTCGCCCTAAAGAGGCTGCAGGCATCAACCTGGAGAGGATTTTACATGATGGAATGGAGTCAGGGTCAGGATGGTAAATAAAGACCACACAAGAGCCCTTCCAGCTCATTTTGTACAGCACAGATTTATAGTTAGCAATGCAGTTCATTTTATTAGTTATAAATAAAGTACAAAAAATCCACCAAAAGTGAATCTAAGCATTTACACAATTTCTAATGTCTTTTCATTTCTTCAATGCACTATTGCTTTAATATTAATAATAAATATTTTTCTAGCTTTCTTCTATAAAATAGTCTATGTAGCAAAATGTTGCACAGCACAACAGAACAGCAGTAGGAGTACAAAAATGTGGGTGATCCTTTCACTGGCTCGGGCCATTAAAGGAGAGGATTTTTGTTTGCTCGCCCCGTGCTTTATGCGTCCCTTTCTCGGTGTCTTTGCGGGGTTGACAACCAACCCCCATCCCCACACCGCCCAAAACCATGGCTCCAGGCTCCAAGGGAGGAGCAGCAAAGGGAAAACGTGAGTCTGAAACTTAGGGTAAGGCAAAGGCAAAGGCAACAAAGCAGAGCAGCACCCTGAAGGGAAAAGAGTCATGAAGGTACGGTTACGTTGTGCTTTCCAGCCCCAAAAGAGAATTGCATCCAAAGCCTTTTGGGGTGGAGATGCATCAAACTCCGTTTCAGCGTGGCTGAGCATCTGCGTGGACCCAGAGCAGTTATGGCTTAAAGCTTAAAGTAGTGTCAAGGGTGCTTTAACCTTCCTGCGTGGCGCAAGCACTGGGTATCTGGGCACCTCTGGAGAAGGGGCAGCATGTTAGCAGTGTTGTGGTCATGGATGCAGATGGGGATGTGGACACTTGGACACCTGCGCTGGGGATGGAGATATGGACCAATAGAGGAATGGGACATCAGCTGGGAGCTGGTCCCCCTTCGGGTGACCCAACGAGGTCACAGGAGGGTTGTAGCCCCAGCTCCACAGTGGATTAACAAGCCTCAAGTTGAGGTTTTTCTGCCCTGACTGAGGGAGCAAAACTGATTGAAAGGCTTTCAAGGTCATTTTGGGGGGCTTCTGCTCCAGGTGTGTTTTACAGCTGGATTATAGCCAGTGTTTGTGGCCCGGTGTTACAAATGGATCCCAGATCATCCCCACAACCATCCCATCCCTCTCTACCCCATCCTTCTAGCCATATCTGGAAGCAGTGAAGGAGCTGAAGTCCCACCATCCCGATGGCACCGCACCGTGAGGAGCAGGACCTCCACGTCAAAAAAGATGGGAGGCTCGGCTTCTATAAACTGCAGAAAAACCCTTGGATTTGTAGTCTGTGAGCTCATCGATTCCCTCCTACATCCTCCCCTGGAGCACCCAGCTGGGTGCTCATGGAGACGGTTTGACAGGGTGCACATAGCCAGAACAAGCACTGAAAATTAAACAGAACTGCAGCACTGGGGCTCCCTACCTCATTGTATGAAGCAATCTGCAGAGTCATGCACTGAAGGCATGCATTGCCCCTAGCACAGCCTTGCATTCATTATTGCAGGAAGCATGCAGCAAGAGCGGGAGCATCACCAGTGGCACTGGGACAGGGCAGGAACCAACTGAAACATTTTGGTTTTGGAGAACGCCATTAATCCCCTTCAATGCACAAGGGCATGAGTGAAAGGATCACCAGAGTTTGATTATGAGTGCAAATAATATTCATATATATGTGCTAAACACAGTCACTATATTGCAGTTTTCCACTATGTCACAGCATACAGAATCAAAGGTTTGCATTTTTATGGAATGTATCCAAGGTAACAGCACCACAGTAATACAGTTTGTAATCACACACCCTGATTTTTTTTCTTTTTTTCTTTTGTTTTCGACAAGATAAGCATTATCCCCGACATCCCATGTTGAATTTCTTTTTAAAGTACCGACGCATGCAAAGCATTCCATTCCCAGAAACAATGCAAAAATGAGGTAATAGGAGTAATAAAAAAAATTAGTATTAATTTCTAAATAAATAAATTATAATTAAAAATGCAAAAAAAACCAACTATAAAAATAATTAAATAAGAACCCACAATATCTACAAGTTAGTCATAAATTATGATTGTTAAATATAAGGCATTTAAACTCACAAAACCCTGTAAACTATCAATGTTTTTGTTCCTGGAGTGTGTGTTTCTATTCCAGCTCCTCCTACTGTTGTGTACACACGATTCCAACCCACACAGGAACCTGCAGGTCCTCACGCACTGCGGGATCAGTCACTCACACCGGACCATGGGAGTTTTGGTGCTTTTCTTCACCAATTTTTTTTTTTTTTTTTTTTTTTTTTGTCTTTTTCTTTGTTTGTTTGATTGTTTTTCCTTGTGTGT